TTTTTTTTTTTTTTTTCCCCTCTTATGGACAGCCAAAAATATTCTTTAGAAAACCGCGTTTGCCCCAGGTGCATGCGCTAGTGCCAATGGCTCTGCCAGCCGGCCGAGTCAGTAGGCGAAGCCCTCCGCGTAGGGAAGGCTGCCGCAGGGATCCATCTCCAGGAGGAAGGCAGGGCTGTCCTCAAAGTGTGTCAGGGGCACCGTCTCCTCCTCGGGCACTGGGCAGTCCGGCTCTGTCTTCAGGAAAGGGCGCTGGTTGTCGGGATAGGCCATGGAGAAGAGGGCGTCGGGGTCACAGACGAATTTATAGACGTACCGCTCGCCGGCAACCTGGAGGGAGGACAAGGGGGTGAGGGAACATCTCCCTGGCCTAGGGGAGCAGCACACACCTCACATCAGACCAAATCCCTGTGCTGCTGCACCCTGGGACAGCAGGGGACGGTCACACCCTGCTGTGGCCTCACCTTCTGCATGATGCCCTTCTCGTAGTAGTAGCGCAGGGAGCGGCTGAGCTTGTCATAGTTCATGGCTGGTCGGTTCTTCTGGATGCCCCAGCGCCGTGCTACCTACAGGGAGAGAGGAGGCAGCCATCAGGGCTGGGACAGGGATCCTCAGGGGGAATCACAACTGAAATGTGGCTAGAGGCTGGCTTGAGGGGGCTGGGGCAGCTGGAGTGAAGGTGTCATCGTGGTCTGGGAGTGGTTCCTTGCCTGCCATGATAAATGCTTGGGCTGTGACCACACAGCCACCACCGGATCAGGGGCCAAATCAAAAGTCATTTCATTAGGCAGAGCCTGCCAAAAAAGCTGCTTCAAAATACCACAATTTCCATGCATGGCGCAAGAGACATTATGGGTAATTACCCACAATGCGCAGCTCGGGGCTGCCTACAGCTGCTCTCAATTACTCCCCAAACTGCTCCTTCCTCTGTGTCACCCTCCCGTGGAGCCGTGTGCTTCCAGCACGGAGCTGCTGCTGGAAACCCAGGGCAAAGGATGGGAGCAGCTTGGGAAGGAGGGCAGAGCAGCAGAACTCAGCAAGGCACAGCACAGAGGCAACAGCACCACGGCTGGTGACCAATGCCAGCTTTGGGAGCCAGCACGTGCCACGCCAAGGGGCAGTGGGAGGTACTAAAGGAAGGATCCACTCCTGCATCCCCCCAGGCATTCCCCAGCTCCAGGGCAGGACCCCTCATACCTCCTCAGGCTCGATCAGCTTGAACTCCATGCCCCGGCCGGTCCAGGCGATGAAGTGGGCATTGGCAGGGTCATCCAGGAGGGTGACCAGGAACTGCCAGAGCTGCAGGGAGCCACGCCGCTGGTAGGGAGGGCCCTCGCGGTACAGGGTGGGCTCCTGCTTCACTTTACCTGCTCACACAAAGAGACATCTGGGTGAACAGCCTGGCTCTGCCCCTCTCCCAGGCTGTGCCACCAGCAGGAGTCACGTACAGCAACACGGGTCATGCCTGTGCTGAGACACCTGAGCAGCATCAGGCCGTGGGGTGGGAGAGGTGCTGGGGATGGTGCTGCAGGCAGGGAGGTGTCAGTGACAGAGATGGAGCATGGCAGTGATGCCAAGCTGCCACGTGGGATGATGCTCAGCAGCTCTCAGAGCACTGTGCCAACACTGCTTGGCTTTACAAGCCAGGCACTGCAGATCCCAGCGCCCCCACATCTTCCTCCATGAGCCCCAGCTCCCCTGCAGGCTCCCCTGGGGCCAGACTTACCCTCCAGCCTCTCGGGTACCACGCACGTGTCATCAAAATACAATCGTGTGTCCTTTTCATATGAAAATCCTGTGGGGAAAAGACCCTTCATGAGCATAGGGCCCCTGCACTACCCTGGCTGGAGCCCAAAAACCCTGGCTTGGCTGAATCCAGCTCAGGACCCCATCCACAGCTCGGGGAGCTGACCCATTCCCAGTTCCTTCAGTGGCTGAGTGCTGCGCAGCGCTGCCCCCCTCACTGCTCCCAAACCCTACTGGCATCTCTGCATTATCCCAGATTCCATGGCACTGCTGTGCCCTCACAGGGGCTGCTGGCTGCTTCTGGGGCTGGTGCCAGCACATGTGGCTCTCATGAGCCCCAGGGGCTCTCATGGGTGTTTTCTGGGTGCCCAGGGAGTGCTGGGGTCACAACAGGGGACAGTGGGGGGGTCACTCACCGTCATGGCTGTTGGGGAAGACATTCCCCCGTAGGTACGAGGACTGGCAGTTAGGCACTTCTGAGGGGGAAATGAAATTACATTAGGGCAGTAAACCCATGGATTTGGCACATTTTCTTTACCCCAAGCATGTCCTGCAGTGAAATGTGGGAACCTTCCCCCTTCCCCACGCTCCCTGGTGCACTACATCCACCCTCAACATTGGGGAAAAGAAACCCAGTATGATTTGGGGTGGCACTGGAATTTAGACTGGAGCAGCTCGAGTTTTCACAGGCCCCACATGAAGAGAGGCACTGCTGCACCTCCCCTACCATCTGCTTGGCTGTGCCACCCTCCATCCCGAGGCTGGGGTATTTTTAGGTCCTAAGGCGATTAGAGGATTTTTCCGTGATGCTGCAAGGGTCCAGCAGCCAGCAATCACAGCTGGCCCCAGGCCAGAGCCATGGGGGGGACCCACCAGGCCCTGTGGGGCACCCCAGCCTGGGGCTACAGCCCCGACCACACCACTGGCATCAGGTGAAATCCTGCTGTATGCCCTGGCTTTGGGAAAGGAGGAAAGAAAGGCAAAGCAGTATCCCAGCAGCCCAGGAGCTCCAGGGTCACACATCACCCACTCCCTGAGGCTCAACCCCACCTCTGATGTCACTGAAGCCCCCCCTGGCTGTCCCCTGGCCCACACCCACCTGAGTCAATGCAGTAGTCCCGGGGCTCCTGCTTGATGCCCATGGGGGGCTGGAAGCTGTGCCCAGGAGGAGCGGGCAGGCCAGGGCCGCCGTGCTCGTAGAGAGGGTCATGGTACTCCT